ACCTGAGTTTAACCTTGCAGGTATAAACATTCTTTTCTACGTGTCTGTTTAGGCACCTACTGGAGAAAGTCTGCCACCCACCCCTTGTCCCGGCAGGTTAGTCATTCTTTCTCTGTGCTTCCACAGCACTGGGTCTGGGACGACACCTGGAAAACTGTCCTCTTTCCGCAGCAGCTTTGGCATTCCTCTCCCATCACTCTCATCTCGCTGCATATTGTCATGGTTTGTTCACCTGCTTCTCCCACCGGGAACTCCTAGAGGTCATGGGGCAGCAACTTTTGCAGCTCTGTTTGCCCACTTCCAAGACAGCTCTTGCCACATCAGAGACTCTCACAAAATGTTTGATGCATGCGTGTGTGAACTAATGAACAATTGAAGAAATGAATGAATGTTTGAATAGATGAATGGGTGAAAAAAAGAGTGAGGTTAAGTCCCAGCACTGGAGCAGACAAACCCGGATTCAGATCCTGACCATGCCACTTGCTGGTTGTATGATAATTTCAGACAAGTTATTTAGTCTCTCAGAGCCTGTTTTCTTTTTAAGGTTTTTGGAGGATTACCAGGCAGGTAAAGCACAGTATCTGGAGTGGAGTCAGTCCCCAATATATGATAGTTGTTAACAAGCTCCAACTTGGAGCCCTCTGTTATCTTTTACCCTTCTGGGTCTTGTTGGTACCTCCCTTTCCAGATTCTTGGCATGGCTAGGTCCTTGAGAGAGTAAAGAATAGCCCAGTGAATACAAGTTGGGGTACAGGTTGTGTGAATGGGTGTAGCACTGGGCTTTGCTGAGAAGGGGAAACTGTGACTGGGGTTTGCCTAGAGCCAGGCAAACAGGTCAGCTGCCACCCCACTGTCTCAGGCCTTCTCCACTGGCGGGTGTCCCAGGAAAACAGGAACAGAGCTGCATTTAAGGTACCCAGATGACAGCCACATCAAATATGTGACCTTTTCCTAGGAAGCCTAGTTTCCATGGTGAATGGGGCCTCAAGCTCTTTCTCAAGCCATGCTCTGTGGCTCAAGGCCCGCTCTGGAATGTGATGGCAGTGGCCCCAGCAGCTGGGTGGGGACATCTGCCCAGGGGCTGCCCCTTGATATCTCCTGGGGGGGTTAGGGTGAGGGATGGCTGAGCTAGCCCCCTGAAGTCTGGATCAGACACCCACCTGGGAAGATTGGCACTCAGGCCCTGAGGCTTCCTCTACCCCACCCCTGCACACACACTTAATGGCTCAAGGCTAACCGCTGCCAGGCTAGGCAGAGAGAAGGGGACACTTTCTGCCCCCACATTAGGCTGAGGGCCTGACCTCCTCTACCTCATCTTGGCAGCCCAGGCAGGAGAGAGAGCCTGCCTCCTGGCTTGGCCTGTGTTAGGGCCAGCCTCTGCAGCTGCCAGAACAGGAGCTGAATGCCTAGTGCAGCCGCCAAAGCTTGCAAACTCCTTTCTTCTTCCTCAAAACTATGCAAACGGAGGCTGCTAAGGAATGCGGCAGCTAACCTCCCCACCACCCGCCTCCCTCCTTTCAAGGCCTGTGCTCCCCCAACCCCCTAGGCTGCAGTCACTTCAGAAAAATGCAGGGGAGGAAAGAAATCCCCCAATGTGTCATGACATTACATTTCCGCCTGGTGCTCAGAATAAGAAAGGGTGGGGGGGTTGTGGAGGTAGTGTGGTCACAGGCAGAGCCCTGTGCCTGCCTCACCTCTCTACCTCCCCGGGGCAGATCACCTGCTCCCCAGAAGCTGTTTCCTCATATTAATAAGTCTGGGCAAATCACCCTGACTCAGAGTGTGGAGGAAATCTGAGAATTAACTGTTTGCAATTGTAAAAGAGCATTGATACTCCTAAGAGGCTGCTGAGAGGTGCCACACTGCAACTCGAAGTTGGCAGCTTCTGAGCGAGCTTGCTACACACAGATTCATCTCAGACACGTAGTGATTCCTCCTTTGTTCTTGAGACTAAGAACACAAGAGTGAACAGGCCCCAGGTCCTGCCCTCCAGGAATTTGTGCTCTAACAGGAACACTGGACAATTAAACAAGTCACAACCACCAAGTGTCAAGAGAGTTATGTGGGGGCCTCCCTGGTGGCCTAGGGGTTAAGTCTCAGCGCTATTACCACGACAGCCTAGTTTAATGCCCAGCCAGAGGCCTCCCTGATGGCGCAAGATGAAATCTATGAAGCTGTCCGCAGCCTCTGCAGCACGAGTTCGATCCTGGGCCAGGGAGCAACCCAAACGGCTCAGCAGACCTCTCCTGCCTTGCCCCCTGCTCCCCTTAGCGGTGCAGTTCAGTCGATCTGCCTGCTCTCTTCCCCTCTGTCTCTGGTGAATCCTCTTACCCCCTGCAACTCTGACCTGTACCCCAGTTCTTCTACGCAAAAATAAATAAATAAAATCTTTATTAAAAAAAGTTATGTGGGCAAAAGGAGGTGCCCAGTGATTTCCTGCTCTAGGGGTCAGGGAGGCCACTTCCCTGAGGAAGTGAAATTCAAGTTGAGCCCTAAACAGTGAGCAGCTGAGGTCCAATGGATCAGAGAGGTTAAGGGAATTCTAGGCAGAAGGAACAGTCAGCAGACAGCGAGGATGATGTGAATGAGGAACTGAAATGGGTTTGGTGTGACAGGAATGTCAGCAGCTGGGGTGGGGTGGGCAGCAGATGTGAAGAGGCTACAGAGGGAGGTAGACAAGGCCTTTCAGACTGTGCCAAGCAGTTCAGATTGGACCCTCAGGGCAATGAGAGCCAGACGGGGGTCTTAAAGTGAGAGAAGGTAGGGGGAAGCATGATCAGATTTGGGAGGGTGTGTGGGATAGATGACTCAGGCTGTGATCTGCACAGACTAGGGGGTAACTATAATAGTAGGGAGACAGGATACACTGTCCAGGTAGCCGTATCTGATGGCATCACCTCATTAAATATTTATCTAGTATCTGCGTGTACTGGGTCCACTGTCCAGTTCTGGAAATGCAGAAACGAATAGCAGAGTCCCATGCTAATTTATTTGTTTATTGTCTGTCTCTGGCCCTAGAATGCATGTATTGTGAATAGAATTTGTGACTTATCTTGCCTTCCACTGTATCCCCAGCCTCCGGACAATGCCTAGCAGGTCAGAGAAACTCTGGAAATAATTGTGAAATAGAGGTTTGAATGGAGCCCCTTTAGGAATTCTGTCCTGAGTGCTATGAAAGGGAAAGAACAAGGTTCTCTGGGAGTGGCCAGTGGCACAGGGAGTCACCTAATGCAGGAGATCAAATCTAGAGGTTTTATTGAGGAAGAGATTTTTTTTTTTTAAGATTTATTTATTTATGCATACAAGAGCTGCGGTACAGGCCAGAGAGGCAGTGGGTGAGAGGATTCAGCAAAGACAGAGTGGGGAGTAGGACAGGCAGATTTACTGAAATATACTGCTGAGGGGAGCAGCGGGGAGACAGGAGAGGTCTGCTGTGCCTTGTGGGTCACCTCCCTAGCTGGGGATCATACTCGTGCTGCAGTAGCTGTATATAACTTCATAGTGCTGCGTTTTAACACCTTGCACCACCAGGGAGGCCCAAGGAAGAGATTTTTAAGCTTAGAGTTATAGGATAGAATAAGTGACTGACAGATGGAGGAACATGCACAAAGACCTGGCATCCAAAGGGTGCAAGGAGGAACAAAGCAAGCTATGTATGGCTGAGGCTGGAGCAGAGGGAGGAAGCATGCAACCTGATACTGAAGGGGCAGGCAGAGGACCAAATCCATAAGGCCTGAGGGATCTTCTAAGTCTGTGTGTTTTGTCCTGAGGGTGCATTACTCAGCAGCATCTTGGACATGAAGCCATTATATTTCGAGTCATTGTCCAAAGTGGATTTTTTATTTTATTTTATTAGGGAACCTCCCCTCACTGATCTTACTTCTCATGCAGAGACTGCTTTTTTTCAGTAAAGCAGATACCCACTGAAATTCTTTGTCTTGCTGAAGGCAGTGGGGAAATGAACAACCATGGTGAAGTGCTTGGTACTTTTACATAAGACCTCATTTAATTATTACAACCTCTCTGGGAGTTTGGCGTTATTATTTCCATTTTACATATGAGGGAACTGAGCCCTAAAAGAGAACCAGCAGTGAGTCTCAAGTGAAGTACATTGCTCTAAACAATAGATTTTGAAGAAAAGCTAGTCTTTGTGGGAAAAATCACAACTGATTTTTGTGAGCTGGCAGAGTTCGAGAACAAAATTGCAAATGATCCAAGTGTCTGGTGAGTCAGATTAGACAAGCAGTCAGTCAGAATGTGTTCATTGACTGCTGGGATACGTGGCACCGCATTCCCTAAGAGTAAACGTAATCTCTGCCCCCAGGAGTTCACAGTATACTGGGGGAGACAGGCAGACTGGAGAGTTATAATTTCAACCCAGTGAGAGAAGCAGAGAGTAAGGAAGCCCAGGAATTTTGGGCAAATTTGGTGTGTGCTCTGCACTGAGGAGGAGCAGGAAAGATGTAGGCAGGTTAGATATTCATCCAATCGCTCTGTTCTTTTAACATCTTCATTCATCTCACCAACACATGTGAATTATGGGAATGCGCCAAGTATATGGACAAGGCAATGAACAAACAGATATGGTGTCCACCTCCATCTAGTCAAGGAGATAGCCACTTAATAAATAATTACACACACCCACAAAAATACATAGGGTACCTAGAATATAAGCAAGTAATAACAACATTTGCCTGAGGGGAAAAGAACTGGGAATCAGGGAGTCAGCGGCTGGAAGTTAATTTTCTTTTCCTGGCATATGACTTATACCGTTTTCATTCAGCATGTGATTATTGTATGAATGATTTTTTTCAAGGTGAAAATAATCCCATGAAATAATATACTATTAAGAATCGTGACAAAAAAACATGAAGAAAAAGTGTCAGTTGCTCTGAGAGAGGATAACAGGGAGAACTACTTTCAAATGAGGACTCAGGAAAAGACCTCTTCGTGAAAAGGTCTTTGAAGTCACAATACTCACAAGGTTAATTGGAACTTACCAGGCAGAACACTGGAAGAAAATTCTAGAGAACTGGACAGTGGGAAGCCTGTATGAAAAATACAGGTGGCGTAGAAGTTAGGTCTCAGCGCTCTCAAGATATCGCCAGCAACTGTAGCATGAGTTGGATGCCCGCCCCCCACCTTCACCCCCTCCAGGGAGCTAACCCACATGGCACAGCAAACCTCTCCTGTCTTGCCCGCTGCTCCCCTCAGCAGTGTATTTCAGTTTATCTGCCTGTTCTGCTCCCCACTCTCTCTGGTGAATCCTCTCTCACCCCACCCTGCACACCTCTGGCCTGTACCTCAGTTCTTGTATGCATAAATAAATAAAAATAAATATTGAAAATAAAAATAATAAATTAAAAACAAGGAAAAAGAATGCGTAGTGTGTTCTGGGCATAGAGGAGAAATTGTATAACAGAACCACTAAGATGAAGGAAAAGATATCTTCATAATTCCAATTCTCCAATGAAATGAATCCAGCACTTTGCCAGGAGAACTGGGAAGGGGTCTATTTTGGTCATTGTTAGTGCAGTGCCTAGCATTTTGGAGAAGCAGATATTTGTTTCATGCATAAATGAACAAAGTCAATGTATGAGTAGCTTTTTATTCAGACACTAGAGAAAAATACAAAGTGGCAGATTTGTTCTAACTCTACAGCCCTGGAGATTAGGGATTCAGAGATTTTGACGGTCTCTGTAAATGGTGAGGGGGCGGGGGCCTAGAGGATGAGTGAAGCTCTTTGCTTGGGCAAAGAGCTGATTTGCCCAGGGAGGCTGTGCTCACAATGCCATAGAACACAACCTTGGCCTATTGAATTTCACTATTTTCTCTATGGTTTGCTCCTTGGGTTTCAGTTCTCTCCCCTTTCCAGGAATTCCTATTTCTTCTTTGTCATAAACACCTGAATTATTTACAATTAGAGTGGCATTAAGTTGCCAAGTCCTGAGGCAGTTTTTCCTTCTCCCTTCCAGGAAAGCATTTCCATTAACATTTTCTTCTGTAACTGCTGCTTCTAAGCCTGATAAGCTTCTGAAAGATGAAGATTCTTTGACTCTCCAAACTGATCCAATTACTCTACCTCTCCAAGAGGAGGGCCCAGGTCTCTGTGTTCTTAAAGTTCCCTTAATAACACTGATGACATGCTCCATTTGGAAAAACACTTTTGAGTGCTGGTTCTTAAGCTTTTATGACTTGTCAGCAGTTTTGAGATGCTGAAGAGTTCTTGCTCATCATCATCTAGGAAAAAAAGCCTATTCTCACAGCACACCACTACCCAAAACACCCTGGACATCCTGGTGAATTTATGGACAACCCAGAACTCCCCACGCATAGGTCATGTCTGAAAGAATACCAGGTTCACTTTGCTTGTAAGGAGCAGAGCCCTGGAGCTTATTTATTTAATCTCATCTTTTTTTTATGTTCTGGGATTGAGGCCCTGTCACCTTCTCAAGAACCTCATCTTTAAATGCAGTCCAGGGTAAATGGCTTCAAAAAGGAATCTCATATTCCCAAGACATCTAGAGTCTTCTGATTCCAAATTCTTTTGTTTGACACACAGTAGTCTTGCTGGAATCTATGGTAGAAGCCACAGGGCAGTCAGGAGGAGCTCTGGAAGGGGGCCCAAGACACCTGGCTCTTGTTCCAGTTTGGGCATCAACTAGCTATGCCTGTGTGAGCCTTGCTTCCTTCACTGTTTCATCCACTATTAAGAGAGGGGTAAACTAGAAGAATTCAAGTTCTTCCCACTCCTTGAGACAAGGATTCCCTATTACATAGCTCCCTACGCTTTAGGGAGCCACCTGAGGGACTGAATCTAAACTTAGTGCTGTTCAGCTTTCCTTGTTCAGAGACACTATGGATAGATACATGGAAGTACATGGAAGTACTGAAGGATAAGTACTAAGTAATGTTGATAGGGATATGGATGTTCCTACTTCCTTTTAACCCCTTAGCTGAGGTCAAATATGCAGACCTATACTTTAATGTTTTTTTTTTTTTAATAGAGGCATGTTTTATTTATTTGTTTGTTTGTTTGTTTTGTTTATACAAGCACTGGGTACAGTCAGAAGCGCGGGAGGGTGAGAGAATTCACCAGAGCCAGAGCGGGGAGCAGAGCAGGCAGAAGGACTGAAGTACACTGCTGAGGGGAGCAGCGGGCGGCAGGAGAGGTCTGCGCGCCATGCGGGACCCTCCTCCGGTGGCCGGGGAGCAGCCGGGGATCGAACCGGCGCTGCAGAGGCTGCGGGCAGCTTCGCAACCCAGCGCTCAACCGCTGCGCCACCGGGGAGGCCCTGCAGACCTATACTTTAGATGGCAAAGCATAATGAAGATATATTGTTATAGGTCAGGGAGAGGGGCACCCCAGAGCCCACAAACCTGCCTGCTCTAAATAGGTTCTGCCATCCACCACATCAACACAAAACATATGAGACTTTAATGAAAAGGAACTTTAATGCAATTAGTAAACAATATAGGAAAGGCAAAGAATAGTTTCCAAATCAAGTACCCAAAGTTAACTGTCCCCTCGTGAGTAAAAGTCCATCCAAAAGGGATTAGCCCAGAGCAAGGCCCCAAAGCCTTCCACAAGCCTAAAGCATCTTCCAGTGGGGACCACAGAAAAGGATCAGAAACAACCATACAAGTCTGGGAGGAAAAGAGCAAAATCAAAATCAAGACAAAAACCACCATTGTCACCTCCCCATGAGGCTCACCCACATCTGTGTCACCCAGTCCACAACCAAAAGGCAAGTGCAGTTTCTTCATGTGTCACTCAGTCCATGACCAAAAGGCAAGTGTGGTTTCTTCTTGGCTCCATGTGCCTCCTGCAGGTCTCCTTCTGGCTCCCCATCCTGCTTCCTTCCTTCCTCAGTCTCCTCTGGAGCTTCTTCTCTCCCTGCTTAGCGCCACCCTCCCCTGAGTGGGGCAGGAAACCTGGAACCTCACCCTTTCCTGGGGACCACCCTGTTACAATATGACAAGTGGATGAACTAATGGGATTCTTTCCAGAATTTGCCCCTGATTCTTTAAGGAGCTGATGCTAAGAGTCTAATGTTCCAGGTAGTGACTTTCATGTAGTCTACTAATCGCTGTGGTTAGAAACACAAGACCTATGAGGTCACTGGCCACTCACCCTCAGCCAACCATGATTTCTATCTTCTAAAACCCAGGCCAAAATATTTGACCTTAGCTGAGTGGTCAAAAGGAAGTGTTAACGTCCATATCCCTATCAACAGTACTTAGTACTTACCCTTGTAAACTTAATACTTTCGTATACATATCAATACTGTGTCTGAACTAGAAAAGCTGAACAGCACTAAGTCTCAGATTCAGTCCCCCAGATGGCATCCTGACATCCAATGACAAAAGCAGAACTGTTTCCTTGAGGTCCCTGACCATTGCTATGTGAGAAAGAGTAGAAGTTAGCCACCATGATGTTCATGTACCTGTTGAAACGGAGTTGACCTACTTATTAGGAGAGAGGGTTGAAAAAGGTGAAAATTGGGCCTCCCCGGTGGCGCAGCGGTTGAGCGCTGGGTTGCGAAGCTGCCCGCAGCCTCTGTAGCGCCGGTTCGATCCCCGGCTGCTCCCCGGCCACCGGAGGAGGGTCCCACATGGCGCGCAGACCTCTCCTGCAGCCCGCTGCTCCCCTCAGCAGTGTACTTCGGTCCTTCTGCCTGCTCTGCTCCCCGCTCTGGCTCTGGTGAATTCTCTCACCCTCCCACGCTTCTGACTGTACCCAGTGCATGTATAAACAAAACAAACAAATAAATAAATAAGTAAAACATGCGTCTATATAAAAAAAAAAAAGAAAAGAAAAAGGTGAAAATTTAACAGTTAAGATAGAGTGTCTATTTATTTCTTCCACTTTGTAAGATCCTTTACTTCTTCCTTTGACAATTATACTTTACCCTTTTGAAAGAAGACAGATTCCCCCACCTTCAGTTCCTGTGCTTTTTGGGTGAAACTGATACAGCTAACCTTCCAGAAAAGGCTATGTGACCTACACCTGACCAATCAGATCATTCGTTGCTCTGGCCATTGTGACCATTTCAAAGGTGGACACATGACCTAACCGAGGCCACAGAAATCCAAGCCTGGGATTCTCTCTGGAACCATGAAGGAAAGAGGCATCTCTTTCCACTGTGGAGACTAAACTGGTCACACGTAAGTTTGTAGTTGCTGTGGCTACATATTCAAGTGAGTAACAAGGCAGACAATGTGGGACTTCCTATTTTAACGGTTTCTTGCTTAGTAGGTGCTACACCCATGTGCTTGTCATTTTAAAAAGGTAGGACTTTTTTTTTTTTGAAAGATTTTATTTATTTTTCCATAGAAGAACTGGGGTGTAGGCCAAAGGTGCAGGGGGTGAGAAGAGTCACCAGAGACAGAACAGGTGGATCTACTGAAATACACTGCTAAGGGGAGCAGCAGGGGACACAGGAGAGGTCTGCTGCACCATATGTGGGTTAGCTCCCTGGCTGGGGACTAACTCAGGCTGCCAAGGTGGGCGGTCAAAGTGGTAGTGCTGACTTAACCCCTAGCCCCTAGGCCACCAGGAGGCCCATTTTTTTTCCTCCAGCTCCTCACAATTGAAAAAAACCTTATTCAGGCCACCCCTGGTGGCGCAGGGGTTAAGTCTCAGCACTATCAAGCTATAGGCAGCCACTGCAGCCTGAGTTCTATCCTTGGCCAGGGAGGTAACCACATGGCACAGCCAACCTCTCCGGTCTCACCTGCTGCTCCCCTCAGCAGTGTATTTTAGTGGATCTGCTTCCCACTCTATCTCTGGTGAAACCTCTCACCCCCCACACTTCTGGCCTACACCCCAGTTCTTGTATGCATAAATAAATAAAATAAATCTTAAAAAAAAAACTTATTCAAAAATCTTTGGAGCTGCTAAATATAGGTGCTTTGGGGAAAAATATTTAGTCACCTTGTCCTAGTATAGCTCTGATGGTAGGAAAAATACTCCTCTGCCCTGGTACTTTTTGGGGCCTGTTTATAAAATGCATGTGTTTTGGCCAACTCCATTGTATTCCTTTTCCTGTTCTTACGGACCAGAAACTATTTCCATTTAATGTGAGCTACGGTGATCAATAGAGATGTGGATTCCTCACTAGGCATTTGATTTTCCTTTATTTTATTCTTTTCCTATTTGGGGCAGAGTCTCCTGCTCTTGGCTGTCACCTCTGGCAGGCCCCACACCCTCACTTTCTCTGATGAGCAAAGGGATAAATAACCCAGACTGTGTTATGCTCTGTTAATCAGTTCCATCTCTTACGTAGGTTGAAATCATCAAATTTATTGAAAATATTCACTTTCTTTGGACTTTTCATAAACAGATTGAATCAGATGTGGCAAGGTGCCTAGGAAAAGCCACCGCCAGTTCCTGCTTATGACGACTCACTTCCTCTCCTTGCAGAGTTTCCAGTGACTATTTCATTTGGTAGGCGTGGCTAAGGCCCCCTTCCCTCCTAGGAAGGTCCTGGGCTCAAGACTTCTTTGTTAACTAGAAAGCTACCTCAGAGTTTCTTGGCAAATGTATCACTTGGGAAGGGATCACTCCCAATTTGGTCCCTTAGGCCCTCTCAGAACTAGCATACAAGCCTTATAACTGTTCCACCCCTCCCAACCTACTCCAGGCAGAATTCATATTCAAAGGAAACAGGTGCAAATTTCCCCATTATTGAGTCTATTAGGAGGTATCTCTCTTGGGAGAGAGTCTTAAAAGGCCTTCAATTCTCTTCAATTCAGTCCAAAACCTTCAAAGGCTACCCACAGGCCAGAGTCTCCAATGTCACAGAACTACTTTTTCTCACCACCCTTGGGTGGGGTGACTGATGGACCTGAAGTGAAAGGTCTGGAGACATCCAAGAAAGGATGACGCAGCAAGGGGATGTTTGGGACTTAAGTGAAATAAATCAGAAAGCAGGCAATTTCTAACAGCTATGAGGGCAAAGTGCTCATAGCACATACAAAGTTCCAGGTACCACTCTAAATGCAATTAAGTATATATTCATTCATTCTCACTATGACCCTGTGGGTTAGACACTATGTTACATCAACCTCATTTTTCTTGGGAAAACTGAATGGCAGAAAGGTAAAGTAACTTGCTCAAGGTCCTGCACCTGATACATGTTGGAGGGATCTGTTTCTAGAATTTGCTTTTAATCATTATACTCACACTTTCTCTACAAGACTCTAAAAAATTGGTGACCGACTGTCCTGATCTTCCCACATTTGAGGTGTTTCCCAGAACTTAAGATTTTCAGTGCAAAAACTGGGACAATCTGGGCAAACCATAATGGTTGGCTACCATTATATAGAAATGTTATGAAAAAGAGAGAGAAAAATGTTATCAAAGAAGATATTTGTTCCTGTAATTTGTATCATGCAAAAGCACCTGAGATGGCAGAATTAAGAGAAGACTAGCTCAAGACAGGACAGGGATTTTGAAAAGCAAATGCATTCTAGGTTCTTCTTCTGCTACCTTAGTTCTAGCCTCTTGGTGTCTGGATGGCTGCTTCAGTTCTCACCTACCTTCTGGGAAGCACTGCACTCTAAGTGGTCATGGTAGTCTTATAGAATGTGAATATGGCCCTCACTTCCTGCTCACAACACTCATTGCCCAGTAACCACAGATGGAAACCAAGCTTCTGAGTTTGCCGTGGAAGCCTCTCCACCATTGGCTCTCACCTATCTCTTTGTACCTTTCTCTTGGTGTTTAACATGGTTCTGGCCAAATCAAGCAACTTACATTTCTCTGAAGACAACAGTCTCTTGCCTTGGTGTCTTTGTCTCTTCTAGAAATATCCTTTTTCCTTTATTTGCCATGAATTCCTACTTTGTCTACAAGGCTCTTAAGTTAGGAGTCCTCCTTTATGTTTTCCAGTTCCAGGGGTCAACGCCTTCCCTCCCATCTTTCCCTCCTAGGAAGGTCCTGGGCTTACTGCCAAATTTTCATATTCTGTTATAAGCCTCTGTTTAACTGTTATTCTTATTGTACTGTGGACTGCTTTTTTATTTACCTGTAGATTTTTAAAAAGATTTATTTTTACATACAAGAGCTGGGGTACAGGCCAGAGGTGTATGGGTGAGAGGATTCACCATAGACAGAGTAGGGAACAGAGCAGGCGGATTGACCAACATACACTGCTGAGGGGAGCAGCGGGTGAGTTAAGAGAGGTCTGCTGCGCCATATGGGTCAGATTCCTGTCCGGGGATCAAACTCATGCTGCAGTGGCTGCAGATAGCTCTTAACCTCTTGTGCCACCAAGGAGGCCCCTTATCTGTAGATTTGTAATATTGATGCACAACAATAGCTAATGTTGATTATGTGTAAATATCCCAGGAACTTTAGCATGTGTAAGCTCATTTAATCATGATACCCACCTGAGAGGTGACTGTTATTATAACCTCCATTTTACAGTTGAAGAGAGGGCAGCTTTGGGTTAAGTATTTCTCTTGAATCTTACAGCTGGTAAATTTTAGAAGTGGGGTTTGAAATTAGGTCATCAGATTCCAAAGCCTGTACTCAACCACTCTGCTAAACTTCCTCTCAAACTGAGGGAGATTTTTGGGTCTCATCTATCTTACAAAGTTGTGAAGATCAATTGACTTGATGAATAGAAAATTGCTTTGTATGCTGAAAAGCTCTAATGTTAAAAACTGTTAATTTCCCACCAATATCTGTCCTCTATTTCCCTTTCCTAATAATAGAATTCCTGTGTTACTCTCAATACAGTCGCCCATATAAACAACTTCATTTCCCAGGCTCTCTTGGCCCCAGGAATGGCCATGTGATTCTGTTCGGGCCTGTATGATATGAATAGAATCACACCTACAACTTCTGGGATAACGTTTGCTTTTATAAGGAAGGAGTGAGCCTTCTGCTTCTTCTTCCCCTTCCTTCTAGCTAGGCTATGGATATGGTGGTGATGAATCATCTTGGATCATATGGATAAGATAGAAAGTGCTTAAGGAGCTCTAGCATTATGGAACTCATGTGCTTACCCTGGGTATTGTGACAAGGTAAATATGCTCCTATCTTGTTGCAATCATTGCTATTCAGTGTCTCTGTTATAGCAGCTGAATCTTTATTCTAATAAATACAGTCTCTTAACTGGGAAAGGATTATTTTTATTATTCCTATAGATTTTGTGACTGTATGCAAACTATATCATAAGAATTACCACAAGAATGGTAAAAACAGGGCCTCCCTGGTGGCGCAGTGGGTTGAGCACTACCCTGTGAAGCTGTCTGCAGCCTCTGCAGTGTGGGTTTTCGATTCCTGGCCAGCCAGGGAGATACCCACATGGCGTGGCAGACCTTTCCTGCCTTGTCCACTACTCCCCTCAGCAGTGTCTTCAGTCCATCTGCCTGTTCTGCTCCCTTCTCGCTCTGGTGAATTCTCTCACCCTCCTGCGCCTCTGACCTGTACCCCAGTTCTTGTATAAATAAATAAATCTTTAAAAAAAAAGAATGGTAAAAACAGGGCCTCCTTGGTGGCACAAAGGCTTAAGTGTCTGCATTATGAAGCAATCCACAGCTACTGCAGCATGAGTTTGATCCCAGCCAGGGAGCTGACCCACATGGCAAAGCAGACCGCTCCCATCTCATCTGCTGCTCCCCTCAGCAGTGCATTTCAGTCAGTCTGCCTGTTCTGTTCCCCACTCTGTCTTGGTGAATCCTCTTACAACCCCCCTACCCCCACACCTCTGGCCTGTACCCCAGTTCTTATATGCATAAATAAATAAACCTTCAAAAAAAAAAAAAAGAATGGTAAAGACATTACTAGCAACTTGTTTGCTTAGGTCAAAAGCCTAGGAGTCCTTATTTTCTTTTAAAAATGTATTGTTACAGAGCCTTCCTGGTGGTGCAAGGGGTTAAGACGCAACCTATGAAGCTGTCTGCAGCCACTGTAGCACGAGTTCCATCCCTGGCCAGGGAGATACCCATATGTGCAGCAGACCTCTCCTGTCTTATCCACCGCTTCCCCCTCAGCAATGTATTTCAGTCAATCTGCCTGTTCTGTTCCCCACTCTGTCTCTGGTGAATCCTCTCACCCCCTACACCTCTGGCTTGTACCCCAGTTCTTGTATGCATAAATACATCTCTTTTTTTAAAAACACCCTTTAAAAAAGTATTGTTATAATTGACATATAATGAACTGAATATATTAAAATGTGCAATTTGATACGTCCCACCCAGGAAAACATCCCCACAATCAAGTTTTTGTTTTTTAAAAAAGATTTATGTTAATTATTTCTGCATGCAAGTTCTGGGGTGCAGGCCAGAGGTGCAGAGGTGAGAAGATTCACCAGAGACAGAACGGGGAGCAAAACAGGTAGATCTACTGAAATATATTGTTAAGGAGAGCAGCAGGGGAGACAGGAGAGGTCTGCTGCGCCATTTGGGTTATCTCCCTGGCTAGGGATCGAACTCATGGTGCAGTGGCTAGCCTATAGCTTGACAGTGCTGAGATTTTAACCCCTGTGCCACCAGGGAGTTCCCGATATTGTTATTTTCAAATTAAATTAGGAGACAAACTATTGCCACACTGCTAATAAATGGAACTAGACAGACTGAGAGTCAAGGCAAGGCAGACTAAATCTTGAATCGAGATGTGACTGGTTCCAAATTCCCTGCTCTCCCCCTCACCCTAAGTTTTTAGAGTAGGTGAAATATCCATTTCTTCCATTTCATAAAGACGAATTACTATCCATCATTCTGGTTCAAATGCAAGGTCCTTTATAGCAGATTCTCAAAATATGAGCTGCAGATGATTTTCATCAGATCATAAGATGGTTATGCAAAAAAAGGTCATTTTTCTGGGCCCTGATCTCGAAGATTTTAGGTAAGTTAGGGATGAAGACCAGAGATTCTGGTTTTTTTTTTTTGTTCGTTTTGTTTTAAACACTCTCATCTGAGGGCCTCCCCTGGTGACGCAGCTGTTGTGCAATGCGGTTCACCACAAGGGTCCCACAAAAACAAACAAACAAACAAACAAACAACCCCCACTCATTTGGTCTTTGAGAACCACTGTGTCTAGAAGGTCTTCCAGGAGCGTTCATTAGAAATAAGTTCTTTGGAAGAACACTTCCACTAAGCCTTCTGTTCTTTTCCATACTGGCATCCCTGCGGTTCAGGCAGATTCTTTCTCAGTTCAGATAGCAGAGAGATGGGGAGGGGGAAGAGAGTATAGCTGAAGGATGAATGAATGAAGAGTTGGTTTTTTTTTTTTTTTAAACGGGGTGTAAGCCAGAGGTGCAGGGTGTGTGTGTATTCACCAGAGCCTGAGACAGATTGGGGAACAGACACAGGCAGACTGACTGAAATACACTGCTGAGGGGAGCAGCGGGTGAGACAGGAGGGGTCTGCTGTGCCATGTGGGTTGCTCCCGGGCTGGCTGGGGATCCAACTCGTGCTGCAGTGGCTGGTGGTAGCTTAATAGCGCTGTCTTTAACCCCTGCGCCACCAAGGAGGCCCTGAATGAAGAGGTTTTGACTTTATCCACATATATCTCATTTTAGCAGCACAAATTAAAGTATTTGTCAAAATTTTAAAACCATGCACGAAATATATGCTTTGGCCTGTGTTTGTAAGTTCATGGACAAGCAGGCCAGGCGTGAGAGGTCACATGGGGAAGACAGACTTTGAATCCCAATCCGAATTATTTCCAGAGTCACCTGGCCCGGGGAGTGAAAGAAGCCCCGGTGGCCCACTAATGCGCAGGCGCAGAAAGAAGGGGACGCGCACATCTTGGAGACCGGTCTTCCCCGCCCTCCCCTCTCGCACCGGTTTTTTATCGACCGTCACATACTGCGCAGGCGCGCAAATTGAACCAAGATGGCGGCCCCCGTGGATCTGGAGTTGAAGAAGGTAAAAGAGGGTCTTGACCAGGCGGAGGCTTCCCGGTAGCTAAGGGGACTGTGAACAAGAATATCGAGTGAGGCCCGAGTCCTGCGGAAGGAAAGAGGCCCTAGAGAATTGGGAAATGGTTTCCCAGAGTCCTGAGGCGGGACCGGGTCTCCTTAGGCTCGGAGTAGGGGGCGAGCGGTTGTTCCCGGGTAAGAGCCGGTTGGGCCGGGTCTGATGAAGTCTGCGGACCGTTGGCTGGACTTTCCTTTTGTTTCCAACTCGAAAGCCGCTTCGTTTCGCTTGGAGCTCCCAGTTTCCTAATAAGGCCTGAAGTGAGCCTTTCAAATTGGAGCCTCTTCGTACTCGGTGCCCAAGCTGAGGCATCTGTAATTCTGCACTTTCCTTTGCTTTGAAAAACTCCCACTGTGTTTTTAGGTCACCTATTCGATCCCATACCTTGAAAGAGCGCAGTATTTACATACAGTTCTGAGTGAGACCTTAGACTCCCACCTTGCCCCACCCCCTAATTTGAAGACAAGTCTAGTAAAGTTTTCCAAGCAAAAACAGTATCAGAAGGAATTGGGTTTGTTTGTTCAAACAATTGCTTATAAATGTGTTGTACTCAGAAATGTTTTGGCCACCTTATATTTGTGAGGATTTTAAAATTACTGTTGAGCCAAGATGCCTTTTTAGGGGGATTAGTAAGGATCCTAGACTTCATCTATAATACTTTAAACCACTACTTTTCCAGAAAAGGAAACTGAGTTCCGTAAAAGAATCAGTTGACGGTTGGGAGTAGAATTCGGGGTTGTCCAGCTTACCCCCCACTTTTTTGACCATTAACTCAATTTTCCGAAGAGTAAATTTTACTTCTGAAGACTTGTCTTATAGTCAGCCCTTGCATAAGAACTAGGAGAGCTGAAATAGCTTTTTATTTTTAAGATTTATTTATTCATGCATACGAGAACTGGGGTACAGGCTAGAGGTGTGTGTTGGAGTGGGTGATAGAATTCACCAGTGACAGAGAGGGGAACAGAATAGGCGGATTGACTGAAATGCTGAGGGCAGCAGCGGATGAGACAGGAGAGGTCTGTTGCGCCATGTGGGTCACCTCCTTGGCCAGGGATTGAACTTGTGCTGCAGTGGCTGTGGGTAGCTTCATAATGCTGTTTCTTAACCCCTTGCCACCAGTGAGGCCCCTGAAATTGCTTTTGCTACAAATAAAAGAAGCTGTTTGTTACTGACCCTAGGATTTATGTGTTTGTATCTTTTTGCCATTCTTGTCTTGAAACTTGTAAATTTAGCCCTTATATGGTGCCCTATAATGCTCTACTAGCTCAGTTTTAACAGTGTACTAGGTTCCTTAGCAAACTGGACACAGAAATCAGGTGGTAGCTATAATTTTACATGCAACACAAAATTCATTTTAAGAACTCGTGAAGTATTCTGAAAGTTTATTTTCTTCTGTAAAAAGTTCAAATTTAAGTTAAGATTTAGAGAAAGTGCTAACAATAGAGTACAGCTGTGAATGGATTTACCTTCCAGTATTATTTGAACTTGTTGCTTGGAAACCTGTGGACAATGAATGCCAGCTAAGGAGAGGATTACAGACCTAAATGAGATAGTTTTGACAACCAATTAAGTTAAATAAATGAAACTTGTTTAAAGATTATTTTTATCTTCTAATAGCTTTACACGGTCTTTTTTTTTTGGGGGGGGAGTCAAATTGGGCATTTCAGACACCTCCCTTCCCCCTAAAATAGATCTTTTCAAGTCTTACTGGTAGGTGAGAACAAAGTCAGAATGGCTGAGTTTTGTAGCCTTTTCCGTGTATTGCAGTCACAGATGTTGTTATTCAGGCAGAAATGTGACAGCATGTGAAAGTCATTCTGGGCACTTCAATGAATATGGAAGAATTGTATTTATTTATTTATTTTTTTTTTAAATTTTTTTAAAGATTTATTTATTTATTTATTTATTCATACAAGCACTGGGTACAGTCAGAAGCGCGGGAGGGTGAGAGAATTCACCAGAGTCAGAGCAGGATGCAGAACAGGCAGACGGACCGAAGTACACTGCTGAGGGGAGCAGCGGGCGGCAGGAGAGGTCTGCGCGCCATGTGGGACCCTCCTCTGGTGGCCGGGGATCGAACCGGCACTGCAGAGGCTGCGGGCAGCTTCGCAACCCCGCGCTCAACCGCTGCGCCACTGGGGAAGCCCAGAATTGTATTTATTTTTAAGTAAATGTACAAAAAGTTCATATTTGGCTTTTTATGTGCATATGAAGATCTTGATGCCATTCTTCTACCAGTGTTTTGAATTTCTCTTTTGTCTTTCTCTTAAAAATATTCATATTCTGAATATATTACTGTAGAGATAGACTAGAAAGATTACTGAACTAGGGGTCATAAGAAATGAATTTAAGTATCTACCTTTTCACCTAATAGTAGCCTGTGCATATCTCTTTGTCATATTTATATTATATATGATACATATCACATACATGATATATATCTCTTTAATATATTTAATTACTTAATTTGTAAACTGTAATGATGAAACTGCCATACCTAACTCACAGATTCTTGAGAGGACCAAATGAGATATTTTCTCAGTGTTCTCAGATTAATATCCCCATGTTAATTATTTCAAACAAATGTGGGAAGGTGGTTTGAAACCTAATCCTGTAATACAAATGTAGCAAATTGTTAAATTTATGGTATTGGTCTGGGATCTCTGGGTTTCATTCCTTGACTGTTAAATTTATTGCTGTTACTTCTTGATGTGGTTATTGTTTAATATTTTTTATTCCTGTTTCTTCAAATCACATCTTCTGAGGATATGATAAATACAGTAGTTAACATAGTGACCTGATGGTTTACAGTTATAAGGATTTTTATTGAAGTTTGCTTTGGTGCATTTCATTTTTGTCTCCAGGTAGCATACTTTGTTTTAATATATTTGGGATTGACTTAAATGTTTCTTGTAAAATGTTTTTTTAACTACTAAATCAAGGACTTGTTTTTACTAGGCCTTCACAGAGCTTCAAGCCAAAGTTATTGACACTCAACAGAAGGTGAAGCTTGCAGACATACAGATTGAACAGCTAAACAGAACGAAAAAGCATGCTCATCTTACAGATACCGAGATTATGACTTTGGTAGATGAGACTAATATGTATGAAGGTGTAGGAAGAATGTAAGTAAAATGTATCCTTAATGGGGTGATCTTGGGAGAGGATTGTCTGAATTAAATCGTAGATTTGTTCATTTTAAAACTTGGTTTAAATATCATAAGCTTTAAAAATCAAGTCAAATGCATTTTTTAAAATATTTATTTATTTATACAAGCACTGGGGTACAGGCCAGAGGCCAGGAGGGTGAGAGAATTCACCAGAGACAGAGCAGAGAGCAGAACAGGCAGAAGGACCAAAATACACTGCTGAGGGGAGCAGTGAGACATGAGAGGGATGCTTCATCATGTGGGAATCTCCCTGGCCTGCTGGAATCGAACTGGCACTGCAGAGGCTGTGGACAGCTTCACAGAGCTGTGCTCAACCCTCTGTGCCACCAGGGAGGCCCTGCATTGTGTTTATTTAAATGAGAAACAGAACCTCAGATAGATGTGCTTAAGTTTAGACTTGAAAGGAAATATTAAATATTTCCCTGTATGATTAGGTACTTAAGTAACTTATCTTTTTTTCTTTTTCTTTTAAAGATTTATTTATTTATGCATACAAGAACTGGGGTACAGGCCAGAGGTGTGGGGGGTGAGAGGTTTCACCAGAGACAGAGTGGGGAGCAGAACAGGCAGATTCACTGAAATACACTACTGAGGGGAGCAGCAGTCGAGACAGGAGAGGTCTGCTGCACCATGTGGGTTGCTCCCTGGCCGGGGATTGAGCTCCTGCTGCAGTGGCTATGATAGTTTCACAGGTTGCGTCTTAACCCCTTGTGCCACCATGGAGGCCCCTCAGTAACTTTTCAGTGACAAAATGATTTGTTGTGAAATGATTTTTATAGTAATTTTGGGCATAAAGATTTATTTAAGTAGTTGTAGTTTTAATGCACCCATTCCCTGCCTAATTTATTAGGAGTCATACAAATCATAGATCTTTTATATGTTTGACCAGTTTTGTAAAATAAAAATAAAGAACTATTTATCATTTAAACACTAATTTGATCATATATTGTTCTAATTGGACAGCTCTTCTATGAGTAAACCAATTTACCTTTTGTTTGTTCTAATAGTTATTTTATGATTAACCACCTAAACAGCACCTTTTGTTTTTTTTTTTAAATATATTGCCACTATGAGAAAAGATCTGTTTCTTGTTCTCTTAGTAAATGAGCAATGGAAAAGCCCTTGACTGCAGGTCACATTCCATTACAATGAGCTAAAAGGAGAAGGCTGGTTGTTTTTTTTTTTTAAAGAGGGGGAGATACAGGAGGAGGGTTTTTCTGGAATTTGGTCTATGAATATTACTTAGGAAGTCAACCATTACTTCAAGTTTGGAGATCTTTTGGTTGGAATGGAATTTGACATCAGTTTTAGGATGACTTGTGATGGATTTGAAGGAAGCATATTTCGTAGTGACTTTGGAATGACATCATGAGAAGTAGACCTTGCTCACAACTAATGTAATCCATATCTTTCCGGGGGAAAAAAAAGATTATGGAAAAGAGATTACGATAAACTGTTCATCTGACTTGGCTTCTCAGAATAACAAAATTTGCCACAAGTAAATTTTATCTCTGGATCTCATGTTTTTTGTTTCGCATTGTTTTAAGAGGAAGAGAAACCTAATTTGAGAGTTTGCTACTGGGACACAAAAGAATTGGAATGAGAACAAAGTAGAATGAATATGTCTATGTACCCTGAGGTGCATTGTTGGCATTCACTGAAGGATAATTTTATCCTTAATGTGAATATCCTTATGGCTTAAAACAGTAATGCTAGCTTTTCTATTCTAGCATACTTGTTAACATGTTGTACTTGGATCTCAATTCACAGGCCTTTGTTTGCAACAGCTAAATAATCTTTTTTCCAAAATAGAAAAACTTTGGCCTTTTGAACTACAATGAATTTTTCTTTTTAATAAGGATAATTTCATTTATTAAACATTCTGTAGCAGTGATAGGAGTGTTTTTGTACTTCCCAAAGTGCTACAGATAAATTGTGTTCTTACTTAAAAATACAATTTCAGAGTTTAAAGATCAGAATATGAATTAGTTTACAGGAGAACAGTGCTTTTTCCAGAAGATTTATTTCATGTAAATGATGCTTCTTAAAACAAATATATAGTTTTAAATGTTTGGAAAAGTGTAGCCCGTATATGGTTTTAAATTTGACTTTTGTGCTTTCTGCATCTCACTGGGAGTGTGTTTGCCCCTGCATTGTAGGGGCATGTAAGGTGAGTAGCATTTGTTGTTTGGCTTGAGTATTAGTGCCATGACAGGAAGAAAAGACTTGCTGAGTATTAGTCTGGTCATGAGGACGTTTTTCTTTCTTGATGCTAAACCTGAAATATCTATTTCTGAATTCATAGTGTTGAGTAATCTTAAGTATCATTGTGATTCACTTCTTTAATTGTAGTTTTTACCTTAATCTGTCCGTTTTCTCTTTGAGTATTTTTTGGGAATTGTAATTGAATACTAATTTTTCTTGGATTTTTGTTTTTAAAGCCTTTGATAACAAAACCCCAAACACTTCATTTTTTATTTCAGAACCTGCTGCAGATTTTTGCCACTGCTGAAATTCGGGCCTCAATGTGTCTTATTTGTACTATGGCAATAACGTCTTAAGGGTTCTTGCTGCCTTTATTCTATCGATCAAAATGCATTTTTAAAAATTACACTTTTTTTTGAAGTAACATTGTATTGTAACATTGTTTCAGGTGAGAGCATCATTAAAAATCAACCTGTGTATATATACTACACTAAACTCATCCAAATGCATTTTTTGCATGTCTGCCTGCAGTGATCATATCAATATTGATCATAAAATCCTTTGTCCTCTGTTGCTCAGAGGGTAAAATCTAATCTTGTCAGCCTAGCATTCATGAATATTCCTAATTGTCCAAATGAAGGATGCTTAAGTTAAATTGCAATTAAATTAAGGTAAATTAAACCCTTCTCTCCTACCACTTTCTATCCCCAGGCTTAGGATAGTATATAAATTTCATGTTGTGAATCTGCCTCCTTCCATTGGGTTTTTTTACTTCCATTCTGTTAAGAAGGATATTGAGTTTAATTAAGCATGCTTTAATTGCTTAGTGGTATCGCCCATGGGATGAGGGTAGAAGAGTAGTAGCACATGAATCAGAAATTGTTTTTCTTACCTTTGTCACATGCCTTATTTTTGTGCTTTCTTGCTTTTGCTCTTTCTGTCCTTGGTTTGCAATATACCACCCTCCCTTGTGAAATTCTGTATTTAAGACATACCTCATCTTCTGTCTTTGAGACAGACATAACTCATCTTCTCTGGAGATTTTTCCATTCTCCTGGGCAGACTTATTCACACTTTTCTGGGTGATGCCAGGTCTTTTTTTTTTTTTAAAGATACCCCATACTTTGTTTATTTTTGTAAAGATTTATTTTTATTCATACAAGAACTAGGGTGTATGCCAGAGGTGCGGGTGCTGGGGGGAGGGGTGAAAGGATTCACCAGAGACAGAGTGGGGGGCAGAACCGGCAGATGTACTGAAGTACACTGCTGAGGGGAGCAGCAGGAGAGACAGGAGAGGTCTGCTGTGACATGTGGGTTGCTCCCTGGCTGGCCGGGAATCGAACTCATGCTGCAGTGGCTGTGGACAGTTTCGGAGGTTGGGTCTTAACCTCTTGCACCACCAGGGAGGCCCTGATTCTTTCTTTTGCCTAAAGTAGTTATTTACATTGGTTCTTTAGAAAGAAAATGTCTAGAAAGTTTATTATTAGAATCAGAGTTTATTACTCTGTTTTAATTTATGATTTGGTCAAGATGAAATTACAAAATCAGTATATATTTTGACTAAGGTTGAAGTAATTGTTTGCAGGCAAATTTTTTTGTGACCTGATAGGATTAATTTTTTATTAAATCTCTTCAGGACATTCACTTACTTCTAAATACCAGACAGTTGTAGAGAATTCTAAATACCAGCCAGTTGTAGTGATAGAACTGACAATAAGAAAATACAAGCCTTTAGAATTGAGCTGTGAGGATAGTATAATCCTTGGAGAAAAGACAGTTCTCTGCAGAAAAATATCTGCATATGTTGCAACTATTTAATTTACCAAGATGCCTGTCAAGTCATAAGTATGGAGATATTTGGTGGTATTAAATATCTCATATCTGGCTACTTTTGGTTTTAAACAAGGAAAATCAAATTACAGGAAAGATAATGAATTGGTATATACTGTAAACTGTGTATTCATTGCTCAAAGCATATCCCATCCAGTCTGTTGGTATGTTGCCAGCACATTTTAGTTCTCTTACTTCATATTCTTTGGAGGGGCTGTTATGTAGCCTGATACTACTACCACCAATTTCTAGTTTTGCTACTTAAGCTGTTTGTGAGCTGACCTCACCATACTGCTTTGAGAATTATGATGAAAGTTACAACTGTGGAATGATCTGTCTGAATAGTTGGAAGTGTTTGTCTTTGTATCTTTCTAGCATGCAAGGAGGAAATAGATACATCTCAAATAAATATAATATGAATGTTTCTTGTATTTTTTTGTTCATGAATAATGAACTGTTTATAATGGCTTACAGTTTTTTTCCCTTTGCATTAAAGAGTAATTTTTTAAAATTTCATTTGAAAATGCATGTAAATGACATTCAGCCATGCTAGTGTTTGAAAGGACATGCAGTGTTAATGTCAAATTTATTTTTGTTAACAATTGATATGATCCTGACTCTGATTTGATGTCTATTATTCTATTATTCTAAATCCATTTGCTTGAGTAGTACATAAATAACATTTCTTCTATTCAAAAGAGACAAATTAGCTTTTTATTTTTTTAATATGGGAGGAACTTGAATAGATTAGCCTTTGAGAAGAATGATTAGTGCTTTTTAAAAACCTGAACTTAACTAAAAATAACTTTGTTCCATATTTAAACTAATTTAGAGTTATGCCACTATTCTGTGGGTGTTTTTTTTACATTTAGGGAGCTAAGAATGAACAATGGTTTAAATCTACCAACTAGATAAGTGTC